TGTCATTCAATAATCTTGTAGACTAGTCCTGGTTAACTCCGTATCTCTGAGTCTGTCCTCCCTGATGATCTCACTACATGTGGTTTTACTGCAAATGGTAAATACATCGAATCTATAGGCTATTATTGTCCTTCCAGATGTCCTAAGATACAATTATAACCAAACATGCATCCACAAGACATACATATGCAGTCTAATGACACAGACGCTGCCGAGATGCAGCTGGGGGTCCTATTGTCTCCAACGTCACATTGGCCTTATGATTTATATAAGTGACTTCCTGCCATTGCGTGCTCACATTATCCCAAACACAATTTTACACATGTGAAGATACATACTGTATATTTATGAAGAATTAAAGAATATTAATAATAGCAGACACAACAGGCCCAAAAACCAGCTTTTGGTCCATCCTGTAAAGACGTTTTCGAGAGGTCAGCCAATGCTATATGTTAGCGTTGGCTAATTCTACTTCTGGGTCCACCCCCAGCGCACGTCATTTTGGCCACTTTTGAGCCGGGACCCGCCCCCACTGGTCTGTACAGGTGCAGAAAAGGGGTTCAAAAATTATGTTTTCCTACTATATACCTATGTACTTTTACTACATACATTATATTTGTCAACAAGTCCGTATAACATTGGTAAATTTATGAACAAGGATGGAGACATTTGGTAAATACAAAAAGTTTTATTTTTGGTCAAAATAAATGTTTAGCCATATGAAAAGCGACGCATCGGCTAGCCCTCCTCTGCACCCACTGCTACACAGGCTGCTGTTGCTGCAGGTATGTAGTCACAGGTCTCTCCGTGGTTCTCAAAGATTGTGCAGAGCAGGCATGTTCTGTGTCCGAGTCATTCCTACTACCAAAAGCATTTTCAACAACCACTTGCGCTGTGCTGAATTTTCTATTACATACTTGCTCTTGGTCTGTCACTGTGTCCTGAAAAGGTTTTAGGAGCCAGTTCTGCAGAGGGTAAGCAGAGTCCCCTCGGAGGTAATAACCAGCTATCACCGTTATTATCTACGCTGCGTGTAGATCGCTTCGCGGTACGTCCCAATGCCTCTGCGTCCTCGCCCTGTACCACAGAGTATAGCGACCGGCTACCGCTGCAGATCCCAGGCCGTAGACCAGGGGTGCCAAACTCGCGGCTCGTGAGCCACATGCAGCTCTTTGGCTGGTTCCGTGCGGCTCTCGGGCTTTCACACAACAAGCGTCAAAAACGCCTGGGTGGTGGTGCTGCCATTCATTCTCTATGTAGTTCTGACCCATAGTAAAGGCCGACCCCACTCCACTAGCCGGGCCGCCAAAACAATCTGACGTCGGCAAAAGTCAATTCTGATTGGTCAGATGCGCTGTCAATCACTATGCAGCTGCTGCCTCAGCTGTTGTAAATATCATAACAAACAACACGTTGCCTCGACCCATGACGTCTGTCCGGAAAACGATTCATCGGTCGCTGGATGAGGGCAACACCTTCCTCAGTTTGAGGAGAGGACACCAGCGTGAGCTCGATGGTTCCACCAGAAACCAGAAGGTGTTTGTGGAGCTAGCGCTAAGGATGCCGCAGAATGATTCCCACAAACATGACAATGCAGAGAAAAGTTAAAAAGCTGACAACCGTGAAATGAAAGATCACAGCAGCAGAAGTAGAGCAGAACCGAAAAGTCTGGAGGTGGTTTGACCAAATGAATTAAATTTACGGACATCGGCTAACACCAGCTAACACGGCCAACATGCTAAAACCAGCTAGCACCAGCTACACCAGGAGATAAGCCAACTCTGCCTGGTGAGTGTCTGTCTTCAATCAAATGCGAAAGAATCTGGTCTTACACTGAACATGTGTCTGTGGTTCTAAATCAGCTAAAGTGGTGTTGGTGTTATGTGTCAAATCTATATCTTTTGCTAAATGCAGTCAGAGAGTGAATCATGGTTTGATAAAGACAGTTGTGTTTCTGCTGAATACTGGTTTGAAACATCAGGTTGATGTTTGCTGACGTAATATTGTTCTGGTATCGACTCGCCCGGTTAGAACCAGGGCCAAACCACTAATAAAAAGTACCAGGGAGCGGCTAAAGCGAGCGGTGGAAAAGCCTGGAAACCGGGGAGAGTCGAGTCCAGCCCTTTAGTATTGTAGGAGTCAATTTCTGTCATTATCATGTTGATGACATTTACAATACATCTGTCTGAGCAGAGGGGTGTGTGTGTGTGTGTGTGTGTGTGTGTGTGCGCGCGTGTGCGGGATGGGGTGATGTTTATGTAGTGCATATTTGTATGATGTGGCTCTTTGCTGTAACACAGTAAAAAAATTGGCTCTTTGTCTGTGACTAGTTGGCCACCCCTGCCGTAGACCTCTGGGGGAAAGAGCACACCGGGGCAGAACACAGCACACGAATATGCCAAAGGCTACGAGGGGTAAACGCATCTTGAACCGCTACTTACGGCGTAGGCGGGGTATGAGCCCTGCCGCTGCGTGTAGATCGCTTGGCGGTTCGTCTCCTTGATGCTCGAACGGGACCCACTCGTGGTTCTCCTTCGTGGCCTGTCTCTGCTCATCCTTGTCTCCATGGCTGCTCTTGGCTCGTCGCTTCCTCTACTTCTTCGTGGCTTCCCCCTGCCCCTGCCCCCGTGGCCTCCTCCTACCCCTGCGGCTCCCGTGGCTTCCTCCTCGTGGCTTCCAGAGTGAGTTTTTAAGCTCCTGCCTGCCCATTCACGCAGGTGCGGTGATTGGGAGGGAGGTCCGGTTGGCTGGTGGCAGTCAGGTGGTGCAGGGTAGCCATGGCACACGGGTCATTAAAACACAGCAACCACACACAGCAATACAAAATGAATAAAACACCACCGTGCCGGCTTACAGTCGCACATACATTACATGGTCTGACAACGCTGAGGAGATACTATTTTTGATGGAAAACCAACCGAACTGGGCGGTGGTGTACCCAGTGGGGGCGGGTCCCGGCTCAAAAGTGGCCAAAATGACGTGCGCTGACATGCTTGCAATACCACCCGGGGCCGATGGGGATGGACCCGGAATGAGAATTAGCCAATGCTAACATATAGCATTGGCAGACCTCTCGAAAACGTCTTTACAAGATGGTCCAAAAGTTGGCTCTTGGCCCAAAGCTCCGTTCCACATGTGTGTCAATTCTGAGGGAGTGAATTTTTTTGGACCACTCTAGTTTACTTGCTGTGAATTTTTGAAGGCACTCGTTTAAATGAATGGAGCTTGCACCAACTGAGGCATGCGCATATGCACATGCGCATTTTTCACAATTTTCTTGTGGGCGGGACGGCTCGCGGCCATTTTGGATAGCTCCAGTAGAGCACTTTTTTGGCCCATTTGTTTGAACGGCGGAGATGGACGTGACTACGTCCGTTAATATTTACAGTCTATGGGCGTACCATGTCGAGTCGAATCGTACCGTACTGTTACTGTGGAAAAGCGGCATAAGCTGACTCTGGCGAAGGATATTGCCCATAATTCTTTGCGGTACACACCAAAATGCGGTACAATGCATTTAAATGTAAGTTTTGAAATACAGTATATATGCTGTATTTGTGTAAATAAGTTTTGCTATGTTACTTCGAAAGAAGCATAAATGTCTGATGAAGAATTACGGACAATGTATTTTAACAATTTAATAACTTTTTAAAGCAAGCATTCATATAAAATTCAATTTAAACTTTACACTTTAGTATAATAATCTTAGGATGTATAAAAACTTACCAGATAGTTACCCACATTTAACTTCAAATTCTACAGCTATCTCAAATAACAAATAATCAATATACATTTATTTTAACGTGTGTGGAGCAACTCATTTTGTTTCCCACAGGGTCAGACAAAATTACCTTTCATTTTGATAAAGTTTAGGTCTGAAAATGACCATCTCTTGAGTAGTCAATGACGTAACCTGCACTGTCCCAATTCCACCTTTTTTGCACGCTTGTAAACTGCGCACTCAAACCCTTGCGCGCACTTCAAACAAATGCACACTTCATAGAGAAGTGTAGGGTGCAGTGTGGGTATTAGGATTGGGCCTATAATACCTCAGTGGAGGCGGGATGCAGTATTTCCATGGATGTATTATATTAACTGGATAGGGTATTACTAGCTTTTAGCTGAATAACTCATGTGCTCAGGGGATTCTCGCGGTACTGCAGACTGAACCAGACTAAATTCACGTGGGCTACCCAGAAATTTTCCCCATAGAACTCAATGCATATTAAAACAGCTCAACCTCAGCTGACAGAGAACCTACAGCTTTAATAAAGATTGGATTTTGTGGGGATTTTAGTGTCCCTTGTCATCCTGAACTTTTTTTCTTCTTAAATCTTTCGGTTTTGTTTAAATCCACAAATCCACAAACTCTGCTCCTCTGGCTCTCGCTCTAACTCCCGCTCTGATGAACTGCTCTGATTGGTCAGAGCGCGGCCGAGCCCCTCTGTGCACGTGCGTGAGACCCACACACGCGTGTTTGGCGCAACGCATTATGGGAGATCATCCACTGCGCAGAACCGGGAGGACCAGACGATGCCCAAATACAGGCGAGTTTCCCATAGATCTTTGCGAGTTCCAGGCAACTTCCGCTAATCTTTCAGCCCCCGTGCTGTCACAAAGCGCCACTGAGCGCAACCATTCATTTGAATAGGGCGCCATCTTGGATCGCCGGGGCTTGAGTATTTCACAGTTTATTGTGAAAGTCTTTGCGGAAGTGGCGCTGCAGTTGTTGTGCCAGCCCACAGAAAAGTACTTAATAGTTTGAGCACTAACGGACTAGGGGCTAACGGGCTAACGTGTGGGCCTGTCCCGCTGCGTGGGTGTGTCCCGCTGTCCACAAACTCACGGAGGACCGGTCTGAAGTGCACAGAGACGCGAAAGGCAGAAGTCACGGAGTAGACAGCCATGAGCGCGCACTGAGTACGGGACAGGCCTGTCTGCACCCGCACTCTGAGTCCTGTCCCTGAATCCCGTACCGGAGTCCCGTCCCTGTCCCGGGGATGGCCGTGTGGACCAGAGCGGACAAACAGGGGCAACTCGACCTGCTGCTTAGAGACCGCTGGATACGAGTGTCCGCGGAGCTCACTCGGGACACTCTGACTTTAACGGCTGAGGCGGATGTCAGCGAACCCTGGGACTACAACCCAAGGAACGGCCTATCCAACGGCCATGAGCCGGGGGGAAGTCCCGGAGCGCACAGCCCGGGACCGCAGCGCAGTCCTCCCGCACACTTGGACGTGAGCCCTGGCTCCTCCAGCCTGTCCTCGGACGGCTGCTCGGAAGCGGTGCGCAGGGTACGCGTGCTCAAGCAGGAGTCTGGTGGTCTGGGCATCAGCATTAAGGGCGGTCGGGAGAACCGCATGCCCATCCTAATTTCAAAGATCTTCCCGGGGTTGGCGGCGGATCAGAGTCGGGCTCTGCGCGTTGGGGACGCTATTCTGTCCGTGAACGGAAACGACCTCCGCGAGGCGACGCACGACCTGGCCGTGCAGGCGCTTAAGAAAGCGGGGAAAGAGGTGACACTGGAAGGTACGTGTGCACACGTAAACGTGGGGGTGGTTGGGGTGTAGTACTGTAGTAGTACTTGAATAGTACTAAGAGATAAGATAAACCTTAATTCGTCTCGCAGTGGAGAAATGTCAGTGTCATCGTTGCGCACATTACAGCAGAGAAAGAAGGAAATAAGAGCACTCAGATTGCACACATCAAATTTAGTCTATTATTTAAGATAATAGACTATATAATTGAAATAAGATAAAGAATGAAATAAAATAAACTCTGGGGCTATAATTGCACTTGGTTCAGAAGTAATTACAGATGTGTATATTGCACTTTAGCAGCGGAGAATATGAATATGAGCAGCATAAGCATCAGAAATAATAATAATATCAACAAGTAGTAGTACTTAAATAGTACTGTTATAATAGTACTGTAGTAGCACTATTATAGTAGAACTGTTGTAGGTCTGTTGTCGCTCTGTAATAGTAGTACTGTTGTTTTAGTGCTGTAGTAGTAGAACTGTAATAGTTCCGTTGTTGTTGTAGTAGTTGGTGGTATGTTACAAGTTTAGATCCTTTGATCATTCGACAGTGGGGAAATTTCAGTGTTGGATCATAAGTTATAAACAGTAGGAATGAGGAGCACACAGCACAGGATAAATTACAAAACTACTAAAATAAAATAAAATAGAATCAAATTCTAATAGGGCACTGTCCGGTTTCCGAAATGTGCTAAAAATAGCTCAGATGACTGCGCATGCGCGCATGTTTCGGACAAACATTGTGTACGACTCGTTGAGTTCTACTGTGTTCTCCTCATACGCGTGTGTATTTATTTGGCCTAAATCATTGAATCATGGTGACAACAAAACACTGCAGTTATGGTGCTTGTCGGAGCGATTTCAGATACTCTGAAAAGGACTATATGAAAGTAACATTCAACCCGTTCGTTAAACCACAACATCGGACCAGACCAGGACCAGACCAGGACCAGATCAGACCAGGTGGGTGCTTGTGGTCGGCAGAATTTCTCTCATGAAAAGGTTAAAAAGGACACATGTTTTTTCAAAACACTTCGCTGGACCAACTGTGGAGCCTCCAGATCCAGTCCTAGCTACGTTTAGCTGGGACTGGATCTGGACCTGGACCGCTGTATCAGGTCCGTCTGAGCTCTTCTGAATGTAGTTAGCACAAACTTTCTCTTTACACCATTTACCCCCATCAATCCATATTAGTATTGTTTGTCCTAATCCAGAAAGTATACAATTCTCACACCTGAAGAAAGATGAGAGGGATTTTTTTCAACTTTGTGTCTGCTTATTATACGGCTTTGTACCAATTGAACACACAAAATAAACGTCATTCACTACTCATGCCGAAAGGTTTATTTAATGAGTGCAAAGAAAATAGTTCCCAAAGGTTTTCCCGTGGCAGGCGAGTAACAGTGAGGATAGTTAACCTAAAAGCGATCGCTTTAGTCGCATTAAAAAAGTATTTTTGTCATGAAAACCTGAACAGTTAATTCTGAAAACCTCCGTGCACTTGTGTTATGAATGTGTATAATGTATTCTCCCATTAACATTTAAATGTGTTGATTGATTGTCATTTGCGTTTACTGAGTGTGGCTAGCTCTGATAGTTTCTCTCAGAGACAGTGGCGTAACCCGTTGTGATCATGGATTTATTATAATATCAGCTGACTGTAGCTAACTAATGATCAAACTAATTACAAAGTGGATAGTGCAAAAACAACTTGATAAATGGAAGTTAATCACAGCAAAACAAACAAAGAAGGCGCTAGCATTGCAATTTAAATGACTAGATAATGTTAGCATAATCCTCACCATTACCTTTTTATCAAATCAAACTTTCTACCAGTTACTGGAAGACCACGACATTCAAGCCAACGTTATAATTGGTCTACACTATAATCCCTGATGGTTTGATGGTGGAATTTTGCCCCTGGTATATCATTTTCGTCTAAAGTGACAAGTGGTATTTGATTCATTTCGGCAGTGTTTGTCCGAAACATGTGGGCGGGAGTTGACAGGCGGCGGGGGCGTGTCTTAGTGACGTCATTTAGATAGTTCGCTATAGAGAGGCCCCGGCCGTGGTCTTGCTCTGAGGATCTGTGCTTGAGTGCAGATCATGATCCCCCTGGGCCTAAACACTGGTGGTGGCAACAGCCCTGGTGGTGGCAACAGCCCTGGTGGTGGCAACAAGGCAAGGTGGATGTGAGCGTGTGAAGAAATCCTGAGACAATGGTGGGGAGGAGGTGGATGCGGCTTGAAAGGGCTGTTTGGAGTGTGTTTTCCAGCTTTTAAGCGCTGGCTTGATTAGCGGTTAGCAGGGAGATGAGATGATGTGAGGCTGAGGAAGGCGTGGGCCCGGTTTGATGACGTACTCTACCAATTTGAACTTTCGCTTAAAGGAGCTATACCCGTTTCTGCAAGGTTTAAATGTTTAGCACTGCCCTTCAACTCCCTCAGAGGTTTCTCATTTTCCCTACGCTCTCATCCCACGGAGCAATCTAGTTTAAGCTGTACAACAATCACCAATGAAATGGTACGCAAGCAACACACTGCTAACAATAACTGAAAGATTACCGCTAGTTTCACGTCCAAATGTAGTCCTAGGCGGCCCGCACCCGCAGGTCTCTTCCATAGACTAAATCTCTCCAGAGGATCAAATCAATGTAAGCTAGCTATGTTCACCCGGGCTTAATTTCTTTGATAATTTCTTTGCTTTAGTTCCCTCTTCTCTTCCTCACTGTTGTGTCATTTGGGCTGTTTTACTGTGTATGCAGTTACAGCAAGAAGAGTTATAGCAAATTCTGCTAACATACTAATGTGTTTACCAGCGCTGTAGAAGCTAGACGACTCAGCCTCTTCGTATCAGCACCGCTCCTCGTTCTGCGAGTAACCGGGTGTCACGCTAAGTTTCTACTCAGCACTTTTTACACCCTGAATTCATACACAAGCTGAATCAATGAGCTCAAGTTTTCAATTAAATACGGATTATAATACACCTTTTATTTAGTAATAAGCATTTTTATGAACTGAAAAAAAAAATCGGGTATAGGCCTGGGACGTGAGCTAAAAAACCATGTTTGAATTTCATTATTTTCTTAATATTAAACTTTACTAATATTAAACTTGTAATAACCATAGGTATTACCTGTGGTATTACCTCACGATACGATACGCAATACAAAGCTCACAATAACGATTATATCATTATATTATATGACGATTATCGATATATTGGTCAGCAATATACCATATGCCAATATATGGCATACATAAAATAGAAAAATGTTAAGTGAAAAAATACACTTTTTCATGATAAATTGAATGGAGATGTGTAATGTAGCCATATATTGAGTATTGATACAAATAAAAAAATAAAGAAAATAATTTTTTTTTTTTTCAAAATCGATACTTGGCAAATGCATATTGATAATCGATCGCGGGAGAAAGTATCGTGATATATCGAAAAATAAATATATCGTTACACTCCTACTGGCCACACATGCGTCAACTGATCACGGAGCCGCAAAGTGTAAGTAAGTGAGTAAGTAAAGTTTATTTGTATAGCGCCTTTCACAGACCAGGGTCACAAAGCGCTTCACACATTAAAATACAAAATACACATACAAGTCAGATAAAACAAACACAGAAAACACAATTTACATTCACAGAGGCCTATGAACAATGGTGCGAGAAAGCCTGTCCAAACAAATGTGTCTTTAGTTGGGACTTAAAATCATCAACAGTCTCTACGATACGCAGAGACTGAGGAAGCTCATTCCAAAGGCGAGGAGCAACTGCCTGGAAGGATCTGTCTCCTCTGGTTTTGAAACGAGTCCGGGGGACCATCAACAGGTTCTGAGTAGAGGACCTCAGGCTGAGTTTACACGGAGACAATGTGGCAGTAAAACGGTATAGTTGGATGTCGGTTGCTACCAACCGTTCATACGAAGACTGTGTTCCAGGGGGGTGAAAACGTAAGTGTTCAGATCCAGCCTGCAGAGTGGGACAACTCAGATACGCTGCACAGCAGGGAGCTTTTTCACACCCGCGAGAGGGGAATAGGTGTGAAATCCCCCTCTGCTCTGACCCCCACCTCCGCGCTGCTCCCCGCACGTAAATTTGGACATGCGCAGTAGCGGAGAACAAACATCAACAATAATGGCGCCGCCCACACAAACTAGCTACGTGGGCTTCCAGCGCGGGACAGAGGATAATTCTACTCCTTCGTTCGTCCAAACGAGACCACGCGAAGCTCTAGGTTCAGTTCCCATTTTCACAGCTGCTGTTAAAAGGCAGAATGATGTTGGTGCATTCTGAGGGTCTGGCACAGGAAGTGAGTACACTGCCGAGGGGGGGGGGCTGGGCACGGGGCTCGGGGTCGTGTGTCGTGTTGTAAAGTTTCTCTGCCCACTACTGGCCGGGCGCTAGAACTACATCGTTTTTCAACCTCATGTGAACGCTGAGAAATTTGCATTAGGAGCCTGGTCGTTTCTGTTAATAGCCTGGAAACGTCTGCGCAGCGTCTCAGTATAAACAGGGCCTCAGACTCCTGTTGGAGACATAAGGGTGGATCAGGCCCTGGATGTATTCAGGCGCCTGACCATGAAGGGCCCTAAAAGTCAACACCAGAATTTTAAAATGTATTCTGTGTGAGACAGGGAGCCAGTGTAAGGCCTTTAAGACAGGGGTAATGTGGGCTCTCCTGTGGGTGCGGGTCAAAAGCCTTGCAGCAGAATTTTGGACGACCTGTAAACGAGCCAGGTCTTTTTTACTAAGACATATAAGCAAGCTGTTACAGTAGTCCAATCGCGAGGAAACAAAAGCGTGGACAATCATCTCCAGCTCCGGACCCGAGACCATTTGTCTGCGCTTAGAGATGTTGCGCAAGTGGAAATTGCAGTTTCGGGTCAGCTGTTTGGTGTGTCGTTCTAGGGACATCCCTCCATCAAAAGTGACTCCCAGGTTCCTCACACTCTTTTTTTACTGAGCTACTTAGGTCA